TGTTGACCAGGATGGTCTCGATCTCTTGACCTCGTGATCCACCCGCCTCGGCCTCCCAAAGTGCTGGGATTACAGGCTTGAGCCACCGCGCCCGGCCTGTGCTCTCCAATCTTATAATTTTTACCATCTTAATAATCCAGTCATACCTTTAATCCAATACCTTTAATCTTTCTATTGTTTCCATTTTTAATTTCCAAAGTCAGAATGTAGTGTTAACCACTCTTTCATATTACTACTGCATATAGAATGCTGATGGCATTCTAAAGAGGTAGAGGTTACAAAAAGTAGAGTATATCACACAAGGTATCACAAAGTAAATAACATATGCATTAGAGCCTTAAGGTAAATGGTGATGTTGGGAAGAACACTGCAAACAACACAGAATGTCCATTTACTAAGTAAGTATGGCACTTTGGTGGGAACCCAGGAGATTATTGATGATATTTCTCAGTTGTTTTGGAGTCTGAGAATATATCCATGAAGCAGTTAGAATACTGCCTAGTAAGTAACAGATAGATGTTTATTTTGGTTACCTGCTTTTCTTTATAATCCATTATGTAACCCTATAATATAGCTTTGATTTGCTTTTGGGAATTTTATATCAATTAATTATACTATGTTTATTATTTTGGGACTTGCCTCTTTTACTCAGCTTTAGATTTAGAAGATGTATCCACTTTAATGCATATAGCTATCGTTAACCTTCTGCTGAATAATCTCCACTCATTCAATATATTACCAGTTATTAAGCCACTGTCTTTTGATTGACATAAGTGATACAGATATTGCTGCAAAAAAACTTTTTTATATGTCTGATGGTATATATATGTGCAAAAGCTTCACCAGGGTATTTACCTGAGAATAGAATTTCTGAGTCACAGGATGGGCACCTGTCACTTCACTGGATAATATCAAATGTACCAATTTACATTACCTCATTAGTATGTAAGAGTTTCCTTGCCAACATTTAATATCATCTGACTTTCTAATTTTTGGATATTAAAGCATGCATTATGGAGAGATCTTTTTTTGTTGTTTCTAAAAACTGGAAGTTCTTGTAATGGAGGGGTCTTTCTAAAATAAACCCTCATGTTTTTAATGAGCACCTCTAAAGAAAAATGTTTTCAATTTGTTGTTAAGTTTATTGTTTTGTCATGACATTGTGTTCACTGCCCCAGACTCAACTTGTGATCCCACTACCTTACATTACCAATTTGAATTACATACATTAAAACAGCCATCTAAAAGTGCTAGTTGTAAGAGTCCAAATACTTGAAACTTTGAGGGACATATTTATGTCCATTATCTTGACTTCAGTTAAATCTAAAGACTATTTGAAAAATGTAATCCTATTACTTTTTTTCTAGGATCTAAAAAAACCATTCAAGAGCCCAGAACCCAGGCTCTTTACTCCTGAAGAATTCTTTAGAATTTTTAATAGATCTATTGATGCCTTCAAGGACTTTGCAGTGGCATCTGAAACTACTGATTGTGTGGCTTCTTCAACATTAAGTCCTGAGAAAGGTAAGACATATAAGCATGTCCAGGTCAAATGTAAACAGCAAACTTAAATCTTCCCTATGTAGTAAGAATCTACCTCTGTGTTTAATTGTAGCAAGATACATGCCTGTATGTCTAATAAAAAAGCAAATATCAATAGCACTTACGATTCAGAACATTAAAAAAAAAAAAACCTCTAAAATATAATACACAGAAGAAACTAATAATTGTACATTTGTTGGTTTCCAAGCCAAAACGATATTCATCAGTTTCAAATTAGGAGTTGTTTATGAGTAAACAATATATGAGATGGCCACTCATGCCTTTTCTCATCTAACATTTGCTAGTAATGTACAATTATATTATTCTGTACCTTCAGTCTACTTAATGTTCCTTCTCAAATTTTTTTCTTAAGGATCTAACTTTAAGTCATAAATTCTGATCCTCCCCAGTTACTCTGTATTGAGACTGTTTTTTCCCTTCACTGGATCCTTATAATACAAACCTGGATTCATTGCTTTCTTTTTTTAATGAGAAATTACCATCAATGTGTCATTATTTGCATGTATTAACATATTTATTCAATATTTATTCTACAAGGTGACAGTGGTGAATTTCTTATTAAAATAGAATAGCAGGACTCAGTATGAAATAAATAGGATCTGAATACCCTAGATTTGGTAAGCTGACCTGGCAAGTAATCTGGTATTGCACTTCACCTTTCAGGGACTCTATAAGTCATACAAATCACCATATAACACTGACACATTATTGCTTTCTATTTAGATTCCAGAGTCAGTGTCACAAAACCATTTATGTTACCCTCTGTTGCAGCCAGCTCCCTTAGGAATGACAGCAGTAGCAGTAATAGTAAGTACATATATCTGATTTAATGCATGCATGGCTCCAATTAGCACCTATAGGAGTATTGCATGGGCTTTCAAGGAAACTTCTACATTTATTACTATTGATACTGTTCTGTTACTGTTATTCCTTTACGGTCTTCCTGAGACTTCAGTTTGTAGAATTAAATTTCCCTAGAGCTGGAGATAATGTTTAGAGAAATAGGCCAATAAATTTTCTGCTAAGATTATTTTAAATAAGACATATAATTAATTTTAGAAATATGATTTATACTTTTTGTTGAAGCATTAAAATATATTCTGTGTGGAATGTGCCTGACAAAAATGGAAATTTAAAATTAAGTGTACAAATGCTGGTTGTATAAAATTCCAAAAATATTTTCAGTTTTGTGTATAGCAGTATTTACTGTTGTGCATTTGGAAATAACGAAATTTGATTTAGCTATTTTACTACAGAATTATATGTTTGAGGATAATATGCTTATTTTTCTGAAATTTCTGTCCTCTTTTGCCAAGAACTCAGTTTCCTTTTAAAATTCAGGCAAAGGTCATTATAAAGGTTATTGTATTTACTTAATACTCTCTAGCCTCATGGAAGGTGCAGGAAGAAAAAAAAATTATCTTGTGATCTTAGCTAAAAAAGTCATCCCTTAAGACTTACAAATGGGGCACTGTCTTTTGTTCAGGGACTTAGAAGACCTACATCTGAAAAAAAGTAAGCACTTTATTAGTAACTCATAATACCTTGTTACAATTCAGAATCTTTAAAAAAAAAAAAACCCTCTAAAATACCTTTTATTTATTTTGGAATTTTTTGCCACCAAAACCTGACCTGAACTGAGATGAGGCTATTGATAGTCTTTAATTATCTTTCAAAAAGTGAATATTTATATATTTTTCTAAGGAAATATTAATGTATTTGATTACTGGATGCTACCCAGAACTCACTGGGGATAGTATTTATTACACATTATTTGCAGGACAGGATCATCTAAGATATAAAATTCTAAATTACATAGCATATCAGTTCTAAAAAGTTTCAAAAAGAGACTAGGGCCCTGTATGTGTGGTAGTCAATTAGGGGTTTTCTTACTAACTATGAATTTTATTAACATTTTCAAAGAAGCAAGTTTTGGTTTCTTAAATTCTCTGCTTACATTTTATTAATTTCTAATCTTTATTATTTCCTTTCTTCTATTTGCTTTGGGTTTGATTTACTCCACTTTTTCTAGCCTTTCAAAGTGGAAAAATTAGATCACTGATTTTTAAACCATTTTTGCTAATTACAAGCACTTAAAGGTATAAATTTTCTTATATGCACTGCTTTAGTTGCACCTCACACATTTTTATGTTGTGATTTTATTATTTTTCCTAAATATTTGTTAATTGTTGTGATTTCTTCTTTGATTCATGGATAATATAGAAGTGAATTGTCAAAAATTTTGTGGTTTTCTTATATATTTTATTACTGATTTATGAATTAATTTTGTTATCAGAATATAATTTTTTGAAATGTACTGAAATTTTCTGAAATGTACTGAAACTATCTTATATATATTATTTAACTATTGAGTGCAGCACTCAAATTTGGCAAAAGTGGTTGATAGTGTTGTTTATATCTTCCTTTCCTTAAGCTTCTTGTCTAATTTTTATTAATTATTGAGAAAGGGAATTGAAAATACTTACTTTTGATTGTGGATTTGTCTGATTTTCCTTTTGGTTTTCGGTTTTTTGCTTCATATATTTTGAAGCTTTATTATTATGGGCTTATATATTTATTATTATTATAACTTTCCTGTTTAATTGACCTTTTAATCTTACTGAAATATCCCTTATTATCTCTGGTAGTGCCCTTTGTCTTGAAGTGTATTTTGTCTGATATTAGTAGAGCAAACCTTTCTTATGCTTGCTATTTTCATGACATATGTTTGGCTTTCCTTTATTTTCAGTCTACTGTATTTATTTTTAAAGTACATCTCTAGGAGACAATATACACTTGGGCTTCCCTATTTTATTTAGTGTATCTCTGATTGTTAATTAGAGTATTTCATCTATTTCTAGGCAATAAATCATTGGTATAGTTGGGTTTTAATCTACCATTTTCTTACTTGTTTTTTATCTGTCCCATTTGTATATTGATCTTTTGTTCCTTCTTTCTAGTGCTATTTTGGGCTAATTTTTTTTTTTAGTGTTTAATTTTAATTACTGTTGGCTTTTCAACAGCACCTCTTTGCATTACTTTGTGGTTATTTTGGAAATTAAAGTATACACCTTAACTTGTAATATTCTACTTAGAGTTACTACTGTAGCACTTGAGATAAAAATACAAGACCCTTGAAACAGGATAGTTTTACTTAACCATACCCATCTTTGGGTCACCTTTGACATTTATTAACATACCTACATCAGTTATGAATTTCACAATACAGTCTACAATACACAATACAGTTCAAATTATTGCTTTAAACTATCATATATATTTTAAAGTAAGAGAAGAAAAAATATATTGTCTTTTATATTAACCTGCATATTTATTATTTCCTGTGCCCTTCATTCCCTTTTGTAAATCCAAGTTTCCATTTGGTATTAATTAATTTCCTTCAGGCTGAAAAACATTCTTTAGCATCTCTTATAGTACAGATCTGCTGGCAACAAATTCCTTTTCCTTTTTAATTGGAAAATGTCTTTGTTTTGTCTTCCATGTAGCAGGTATTTTTTACTAGATATTGAAGTCTGGGT